GTTTTGGTTTACTCCCAGATGGGGTTAAGAGACAGTTTTACCGATTGATTACACTGTATTTTGCTATGAAATATCTAAAAGGTATAAAATGTTCAACCTGATCATTTCTATAATTGACTGGACCCTAAAAACTCACGGTAGTTGGACAAAAACCTGCATTTCAACAATATTCATTTCAGCTGCTCCCCATCTGTATTAAATATCATTGGCCATTAGAATGTTGTGATGTGATCTGAAACCCAGCCATTATTCCACACACACACAGTTGAGTTTCCTCTTAATCGCGCGGGGAGGTAGACAGCGATTGCCACTAATTGCTATCGCTAAAGCCTAGAGCAGTTTGGCAGACGCTAAAAACGTTAATGATAGAGAAAGGAATGGAGGAACGGAAGCAGAACTGATAACTATATCTTACGTAGCCTGAAACTCATTTGTACAAATATTATAAATCCCATTGTTAAGTATTTAGTCTAGTCAGTTATTATAGTCAATTATATGTAAAGAGGGAGTATTATGTGAAATTGATTTTTTTTTTTTTTTTTTTTTAAGGCGCTATTTTCTGATCTATGCTATAATGTTGTTTCCTTGTCAAAACTATACCTGGAGTTGTGTTTTGTTTCATTCACACATGTTTAACCCTGCGTATTTAGCCTGAGTTCTTCTCTTAAACTGACCTTGTGATGCCATGTGGTAATACAGGAAGTGCTTCACTGTGTTTTTAAACTCCACACACCTTCAATAGGATCATGTGAAGCTGTTGACTTACTACCACTATGTGACATCACAAGGTGGAAATGTGCCTTTTGAGGTTTGGAGATATTGCCAGACTAATAAGAAAGGGTTACTCCAATGTGTGTGATTGAAACAAAACTCAACTCCAGATCTGTTTTTGAGGCGGTAACAATATTATAACATACAGGGGGTGTAGTGGGCATGGTACGTGGGGGTACGCCGTCCCCCCACTTCTCCCGACATGAGATAAAAAAAATAATAAATTAAAAAAAAAATATAATATATATATATATATATATATATATATATATATATATATATATATATATATATATATATATATATATATATATATATATATATATATATATATATATATATATATATATATATAGCTACAACTTAAATGTGAAACCGGAGCTATTGGCGATGGTGAAAACAACCTGTATAGGCTCAAGATATCTCCAGTACTGCTCTAGAGTGACCTGCGACATGAGGGACCAGGACTGAACCAGGAATGAACCAGGAATGAACCAGGACTGAGTGTCAGATGGGCCCAGAGGTGCGCCCCCGTAGACTTTTGGGTGACTGCAGGCGAAAGGACCAGCACGGACCTCCACGTCCCACAGGGCTAAGGACTGCCGTCGTCCGTTCTCGCTTTGTGGACACCCTGCTCTGCGGGCTTGGGGTTCTCTCTCTCAAGTCCAAGATTAATCCTGGTTTAGACCCAGTTTAGATCCGGTTTAGTCCTGGTTTAGAGCTAGTTTAGTTCTGGTTTAGTCTTGTTTAGACCTGGTTTAGACCTGGTTTAGTCCTGGTTTAGAGCTAGTTAGTTTGGTTTAGTCTGTTTAGTTTTTAGACCTGGTTTAGATCTGGTTTAGTCCTGGTTTAGAGCTAGTTTAGTTCTGGTTTAGTCTTGTTTAGACCTGGTTTAGACCTGGTTTAGTCTTGGTTTAGTCCTGGTTTAGAGCTAGTTTAGTTCTGGTTTAGTCTTGTTTAGACCTGGTTTAGACTTGGTTTAGTCCTGGTTTAGTCTTGCGTTTAAACCTGTGTTAGTCCTGGTTTAGAGCTGGTTTACACCTTGTTTAGAGCTAGTTTAGTTCTGGTTTTGTCCTGTTTAGTCCTGGTTTAGATCTGGTTTAATCCTGGTTTAGACCTGTTTTAATCCTGATTTAGAGCTAGTTTAGTCCTGGTTTAGTCCTGTTTTCAGCCTGTTTTAGTCCTGGTTCAGTCCCTATTTAGTCCTACTGGTTCAGTCATGGTTTCTGTTCTGAAGGTGTTTATTATGAATGGCGTTAATGTTAATAACATCGAGAACATCACGAATCGCATATCCCCGCTTAAAAAATCCGCACTACACCACTGATAACATGGCTAAAGTTCACAAGAGTCAGTTTTGCCTAATATAAGACTTTAAACTTTCTACCATGTTATAACATTGTTTCCTCATTAAAAAAAAAATAAAAAAATGCCTGAAGAGGTGTCACCCGTGCATGTTTGCGTAATTCAGCGATCTCTCCCAGGCCCTATTTAAACCCTATTTTGTTAGCTGTAAGATTCTGTACAGTGCTCGACCCACAAGTCAATATTCAGAAGCATGATACAAAACTGTACACGACTTGACAAACCTGATGCGATGTGCAGTAGTTTTATTAGCGGTGTGCACGCTGATTGTGTCTTGATATTGCTCTGAATGGGGAGTGACTTAGGCTGCGTTCAAACTGCAGCCTGAAGTGACCCAAATCTGATTTTTTGGTTTCTATGTGACCTGTATCCGATCTTTTAATGACAGTCTGAACAGTACAGATCCGATTTTTTCAAATGCGACCCAGGCCACTTGGATATGTGGTCCTAAAACCGATACATATCCGATCTTTTGACATGCGACTTCAGTCTGAACGGCCAAAGCGCATCCGTCCGACCTACACGTCATCAGCAAGCGACAAACGTCACTATTCTGCAGGCGGAAACCGGAACTGTAAAATCGCCAGGTGCTCAATGCTCGCGTCCATGTTTGGACAACTTCCGTAAACACAGAGCACGCTCGCTGCGGTTGACGCGTGGGGTTGACGTCATCGTGTCCTCCAGTACGCATGCGGGACACTTTCGGGCCGTTTACCGTTCACACTGGAGTCACAGACAAGTCGCATTTAATTGGAAATGTGAACGACCTCGCAAAAACAGATTTCACAAAAAAATCGGAATTGAAGCATTAAGCCCTGCAGTCTGAACGTAGCCTTTGAGTGCAACGTATAAAACATGTTAATGCATTGTTTTTGGTGAATAAAGCAGTCAACACAATGAAAAGTAACATGGTGATCTAAATATGTTGTGTGTTGGCAGTTACTACCCCATAGAAGTAAAATACCTCCTCATTTAAAAAATATATCAGCCTGCTCTATTGAGTGCTGTATTTTTATGCAGGAGATGTAGAAGCCAAACAAATATATCTATGTTTAATGCACCGTAAAGACAACCTTGTTCTAACTGTATTGATCCATGAGGGAAATTACTTGGACAGAGTAGCTCAAAAGGCAATATAAAGGCAATTTTAGTGACAGCAAGCAAATAGAATAGTGAGAAAATGATAAAATGATATGTGCAAAATGGGTCCTAAGTGAAATGAGTAGAATGTAACAGAATGCCAACATGCAGAGAATTAAATCAAATATACTATGAGCAGTGAAGCTAACGGCCGTACATTATTTTTGTATAACTGCGCAGGTAGTTTCAGCAACAGTGTTGTTAGGAGAGACTAGCATCAAATGAAACAGAAATAACTTATGAATGAACACCCACAGACAATTAAAAGGCTATCAGAGACAAAAAAGTGAACGATTTTCAGTAGGTAGGACCATGGAACATATAACTTACAGCAATTTTCATTCTATAAGACATAGGGGTGTAAGAAAAAATTGATTCAGTGATATATCATAATACTTTATTGCACAATTCTTGAATCGATTCAAAATGCATCTGAATTTTTCTCCAAAATTTCATTTGTTAGATTCACTGTACTCATGACAAAAAAAATCCATCCATCCATTTTCTTCCACTTATCAGGGGCCGGGTTGCGGGGGGCAGCAGTCTAAGCAAAAAAAATAAAAAATAAATAAATAATATTTCATACAATTGTGTTCTTTTGAAGGTGTAGTTGGCTGTATTATTAGAAGTGATATTGATAAATTGCAGTATATGATCCATTGTTTTAATATCGGGATATATCGTGATATATTGAATCGTGACATGTGAATCATGATATGTACCGTATCGTCAGTCTCAAAGCAATGCACACCCCTAATAAGATTCAGGACAGATAAGATTGTTGAATTTAAATACAAAATTACAAAGGTTGTATTTAAATTCAACAATCTTGTCCGTCCTGAATTACTGCGTTATAAATTGGACTGACAAACAACCACTAAAAAAACGCTCAAGGTACTAGTGAATAGACAACCAATTTTCATTTTTGCAGAATGCTTGGCAAATTAAAAACTCTCATTTGGAACAAAACAATCAAAACAAATATGCTGATTTAATTTGGGTACACCATTTTTGTCCAACTTGATCTAGCTCCTTTAATGTAGTTTGATGAAGAGAAGTAAAAGAGAAGTAAAAAGATATCAGAACTGGACAACAAGCCCTTGTTCTAGAGGATATTGCTCTGTGCTGTTTAGGAAAAGTGCTTTTGTTTATCAAGTGTCAGACACAGTACCTGCGCGTACAAGGGCACTCTCAAAACCAGCAGCATTGTCAGCTTGAAACTGAAACAAAACAAAAACACAAAACAAAAAACATTTAACAAAACTTTTCAGATGGGTGACAGATGCCCTACTGGAAAAGTAAAGCACCTTTTGATGAAAACAAAATTCTAAACCTGAAAACTATAATTATTGCATTATTATAAGTCTGTCTACATCTCCAAAGCTCAAAATCCTTGTTATGTCATGAAGCAGTAGTTTTCAAGTTAGCAGCTACCTTTTACCTTTTGTTCAGTAGAGATCGGCAATTCCAGGCTGTAATTATCCAAATGATTCTAGTGAAGGTCTATGAGGTTTAAAAACACAGTGGACTACTCCCTGTGTTTTTAGTTTGAGGAAGGAATTCAGCCTAAATATGCAGGATTTTGGTGTTAAACATGTTGACTAAAACAGAACTCCAGGTCTGTTTTTGATAAAGAAACAACATTATAACAGTTAGACAGTCGAGTTCATTCCTTAAAGGACCCATATTCTGCAGTTTTCTAATCTGATCTTTCTTTTTTTTAGGTACAAGCTGATCCGGAGGCGTGTGATCTGGTTAATAGGACAGTGGATCTCAGTCAAGTTCAAACCTGACCTCCGACCTTTGCTGTATGAAGTCATCTTGACCCTGATGCAGGACCCTGACCTGGTGGTAAGTCTGTCAGACGCACTCGCACTATAAAACCTTTTAGCATTATTTACTGAACTTCCTCAGAAAAAACACTGACTGAAACTGGTCATAAATATGCACAGGCCGCTCCACAAACACAATTCACTGCCTAACTGCGCCGAATAGCTGCAATTATGTTTCCAATTTTCTCCACAGAGCACAACACTCCAGTTTTCCATAACTTATGTCTAGTGTTTATTCCAATCCCTTTTATTTATTTAGACTGTGGTTGCTTAGTTTTGCATTTATTGTCTCTTTGATATCGTATTCCACATGAGCCATACAGTTATTTAACGTCTTGATACTTTGCAGCTGATTTCGTCAACATTCCATGGGGGTGTGATGCTAACTGAAAATACTTATCTGTTTGAAGCTTTGTTAAGTTTGACCAGGGGTCCCCATGTACCGGGTCGTGGGTCATTTGGTACCGGGCCGCAAAAGCGTGAACACCCCCCTCACTACACCGCATGGACTGTCCCCCCTCCCGTACGGCACGTGGACCGTCCCCCCTCGACTACACCGCATGGACTGTCCCTCCTCCCCTTGCGTGGGCTGCATCACTAAACCAGAACTAAACCAGAACTAAAACTGGTCTAAAACAGGATCTAAAATAGGTCTAAAACCAGGACTAAAACCACGATTAAACCAGGACTAAACCAGGACTAAACCAGAACTAAACCAGAATTAAACCAGAATTAAACCTGGTCTAAAATTGGGTCTAAAACTGGGTCTAAAACTGGGTCTAAAACAGGGTCTAAAACAGGTCTAAAATAGGTCTAAAACCAAGACTAAAACAGGATTTAGCTAGGACTTAACCTTACCGCAGCTCCTCCCATAAGCTCCGACATCCCTCTAACTCCCTCCAGTCCGCGAAATATTGTCAGATATAAAATCGGTCCGTGGCGCAAAAAAAGTTGGAGACCACAGAGTTAGATGTAATCTGAACTTTATTTTAACACAGTCACATATTAGGTTGTTTTCAAGACAACTCTTTTCTTGAAAACAGCTAAGTGCCTCACTCCTCCAACGCACCTGTCGCCCAGTCAGGTGCCCAGAGTCTACACAGAAAAGAACACAATCACACACTAGAAATGATGTTTTTGGCATTGCTTGCTAAGGTGTGCATTGTGTCACTGTGGTACCTGATGAACATTCCACATTCCACACACATGTAGAACACCCCCAGCATGATGTCACTGCAAAGTACCAAGTAACTTTTCTTGTGGGGGGGTATGCCTTGTGTTTGTCTCCATGGAGATATTATAACATTAGTGTTTTTATGGTTCAAAAATACCATGAGAAACACATTCTTACTGTGAGTGCGGTCGTCTCTCTGTCCTGTGTGAAGTCCTAATTGGTTTCTGAGTCAACAGTAAAAAATGGAAATATATTACACTTCCAAATTAAAAAGTCCAAACTATAGCTGTGTTTTGTTTTCACTCTTGATTAAAACTTGGTCTGAGTTATGTTAGCTAGGTAGATCAAGTGGGATTATGTTATAATTATAATTACACAAATAATATAAAATATGCATGAGGCAATACCCCTTGCAAACACTAAACAGTATCAATGGGGGCAGCAGCATAATTACCTTTGCATTAGATGGCCTATGAAAATATAAAAATAGAGTGCCCTTTTTCAAATCAATGCAATAACATTAAGCAACTTTAATGCTCTAGGGTTTTGGCTTGAGAAAATAATTATGTATCTATCTGCCTCTAAAATCTACTATGATAATATTGCTTTGGTGTTACTGTGTATTTCAGGGTTATAAATTCAATCCTAATTGTGTGTGTGACTTGATATCTTACAAATCTTAAATTACACAAATATGAAAGTGACAGATTGTGTTAAAATAAAGCTCAGATTAAAGCCTAACTTGAGTCACAGAGCTTCAGACAGAGCAGAGCCTACAGTTAGCATCACCCCCCCAGGGAATGTTGACATCAGCTGTAAAGTAACAAAAGTAAAGTAACAACATTGTACAAAGAAATACATTTTAACAATATCCATTTTCCACCTTGTGATGTCATGTTGTTGTAGCTTTCAAGTTAACAGCTCCTTTTACCTTTTGTTCAGTAAAGATTGCCAATTCCAAGGCTGAAATTATCCAAATGACTAGTGTAGGTTACGGAGTTTAAAAACACAATGGAGCACTTCCTGTATTACCACTTGACATCACAAGGTGGAAGAGGCAACTTTCAGTTTGAGAGAAGAACTCTAAGCCTAAATGTGCAGGGTTTGTGTGTTAAACATGTAAGAATGAAACAAAACACAGCTTCAGGTCTGTTTATATTGAGGAAATAACATTTCAACATTACAACCCATGTATCATTCAATCATTCGTTCATTCGTTTTTCAAAATAAAACCAAAAATAAGAAAATGAAAAAAACAACAGTTTTCTTCATTATTTGTGTGACTTGAACTGTGATGCCGAACTTTAGCGCCACATACGGACTGAACCAGGACTGAACCAGGACTGAGTGTCTGGACGGAGGTGCACCCACGTAGACTGTCAGGTGATCAGGACCGAGACTAGGACCAGACTAGGATTGAGACCAGGAGTGAGATCAGGACTGAACCACGACTAATCCCAGGACTAAACCTAGACTACACCAGGTCTCAACCAGGTCTCAACCAGGACTAAACCAGGACTGAACCAGAACTGAACCAGGACCAGACCGGTCTCAGTCCCGATCTGGCCTTGGTCTCATTCCTGGTCTCAGTTCTGGTGTGGTCCCGGTCTCAGTCCCGTTCTGGTCTCAGTCCTGGTATCAGTTCTGGTCTGGGCCCGGTCTCTGTCCTGGTCTGGGTCCGGTCTTGTCCCAGTCTGGTCCCATCTCAGTCCTAGTCTCAGTCCCGGTCTGGTCCTTGTCTCAGTCCTGATCACCCAACAGTCTACGCGCACCTCCGTCCAGACACTCCTGGTTCAGACCTGGTTTAGTCTGTATGCGGCACAAAAGTCCGGCATTGCAGTTTAAGCCACTGAAACAGGAAACGGTCGTTACCCGTTTTTTCCATTGTTCATTTAAACACAAAATCGAAAACTGAAAAAAAATAAATTGTTATCCGTTTTTCCAATTTAATTTGGTTTTAGAGACAAATAATGAAGAAAATAGTTTTGTTTTTTTTTTTTCTTATTTTTGGTTTTATTTTGATACATTCATTGATTCATTACTCCCCCCTTTCTTTCCCTTCTCTTATTGTGGTACTTCGTCAATATCTTCTGGACCAATTACATCCTCGTGGACGTCATGTTGCCTCAGATCAATTACAGCTCATACAGGTTTAATAGCCTAATGGACAAACTACCTTCTGTCTGTCAAAGTAGTTTTAATGCATTCGTAACTTCGGAGAGACCACTTTGTTCAGGCAAATGAATCGAGATGGCGGTTCTGTTTACATCTTTGCAATTTAAACTAGTTCCAGTTGTTGGCTAAATTAGACTAATCAGTTATTGGTACGTATTGATTTTTCCTGCAGTGAGCGTGTCTGGACTCAAGCAGTGATGATGGAAAATATAAGGATTAATTGTTGTATAATTGTGTAAATAAGTAATGTTGTTGTTATTTCAGCTATTGATATGTTTGGTTTTCAGAGCAACATTTCGCATAAAATTGAAAATAAGATCCGGTTTATTATTTCCCACTAAGCGTTGCCATGGAGGACATGTCTGTAACAGTTTAGCGATTCTTTTAATGGGACCCGGCTGACATCCCATTCATTCTGAGGGTCCCCGGACTCAATGAAACCACAGGGCACCTCAGCAATGGATTACTGCCTATTGGGTCAGTAAATCTCAGAGTCCTGCTTGTTTTGAATGTCACAGACTATTCTTTATCTTTCACTGTACTGCAATCAGGTATTTTTCCTTTTTCCCCCTGAATTCTCAAGTTTAAAGAATCCATAATTTGGCTGTTGGTAATAAAACTGTACCATACGAATTTCTTCTTTTACATTTAGTTCATTGGTAACAGCAATATTAATCTGTAACAGCTAACGAATGGAAATTAAATCATTGACTTCTTAACTGCTTACATGAGAGGCCCAACAAGCCACAGATTAGGGCTGCTCAATTATGGAACAAATCCTTATCACGATTATTTTGGTCAATATTGAAATCACGATTATTCAGATGATTATTTTTTAGTTACACGTAGGGCTGTCGCAATAACCACAAAAATGAATCACCGCGGTATTAAGAGGCCCACCACGGTGGATGTTGGGCCACCACGATCACTGCACGTCACCAACGTGACCCGACCCAGAGTCCTGCACGGCTCCAGAGACCCGCACCCGCCTGGACTGTTAACATTGCACCCGTTACCGCCCGTGCCCATGATAATACTGGACAAACCCAGGACTAAGGCACACCCGCATAGACCGTCTGGTGACCGCAGGGTTAAGAACCGACACTGAGCTCCGCACCACATGGAGGTAAGTGCGGCTGTCGCCTGATTGTGCTTTGCAGACACCTGCTCCGCGTGCTCATGCTAGGAACTCCCTTAAGTCCACGGGTGCCTGACCTGGTGCAGGACTCTGACCCGAGCTGCCACAGTGAGAGCTGGAGAGATGCAGCGGCACTTGCCAAATGTTACTTCTCTTGCTACACAAGCTATATCCATGTGACAACCAAGGTGCATGTGCATCTGCGCAACAAGTGCATCATTGGAGAGTTTTCAGTGCCGCTGGAAATATTGTAACTCTGGGGGATGTGGGGTGGGGGAGGGGGTGCGATATCATTGCATACTGCGCTGTTGAGCCTCTATACTGCACCGCATGAGAAATTAACTAACTGCGACAGCCCTAGTTACACGATGCATTTATTTAGCAATTCTCTCTCTCTCTCTCTCTCTCAAAAAAAAAACGTTGTTATTAATGAATTATGCAAAACTTTCAAGTTGAAAATAAACATAAGCTACAAATATGTACGTTAGAGCAGTTTTGTGATGTTTAAAACAAAAGAAAAAGATTAAAATATACTTAGAACATGAAATAAGGCATAGAAAAACATAAATGTATCCAAAATAAACTATATATCCAGCTGTTCTATGTAGAAAATTATTTATATAAAAAATATCCCAAAATAAACTTTGTTAAGCTTTACTTGTTTCATCTCGATTATGAGTTTGGAGATCGTTTGACATACAAATCGAAATCTCGATCAAAATTCAATTAGTTGCACAGCCTTACCATGGATTTTCACTTATTTTAGAAATATGGGTACAACTTTTTTTTTTAACACTTAACACATTTGTGACACAGAGTCTAAATTTTTAGCTAATAATGAGTGAATATCATTATAAAATGGTTAAAAGCTTGGTTGAAAGTTGATTTTGCAAGAATATCAGCGTTTAATGAAATGCTCTATACACTTATTGAATGTGCTACATGAGAAATACATTAAAATCTGAACTGAAACCTTGTATTTACCTCAGCTCTGGTAACGGACTGGACATGTTAAGGTCAGGTTAAAGTTCTCCCCATGTAGTCCTCATGCGTAACCTGTATATTTCTTCCTTTTTTTAGCTACTATGACAGCCTTCACACAGTTCGGCTCTGGGAATAACAGTGTACTCTAAATATTAATGTGAAGTGAATATATTGAGACAATGTGGAGCAGGTGCAGTCACAGAGGTCTAAATATTTCATGACTGTATCTGAACTATGTCATTAGCGCTCAAATTGATGGTTATTTTTATCATTCAGCTTTTTTTTTACCTAATAAATTGTGCATCTTCACATCAGACAGCAGATACATTTTACAATAAGGATTAATTACACTGTTGTTGTTATGCTCATAATTTGTATCATGCCTTCGGGCTATACTATGGAGATAGACAAAAGGACCTATATTACGCTATTCTCTGATCTATGTTATATTGTTTCCTTATCGTAAACGTATCAGGACTTGTTCAACACACAAACCCTGCATATTTAGTCTGAGTTCTTCGCTCAAAAGGAAATAACTCTGTCCAAATATAGTACAGGAGGTGATAGCAATTCCACACACATTCACTAGAGTCATTTGGATAATTTGAGCCCCTAATTGCTGGTCTCTGCTGAACAAAAGGTAAACAGTAGCTGTTAACTTGAAAACTACCGCTTCATGGAAGAGACCATTTTGAGCTTTGAAGATCTATACATATTAATAATGCAGGATGTGTGAATGAAATGGAAAAAAAACAACAACTCCAGGTATGTTTCTGATAAGGTAAGAATATCTGAACATGGCTTAAAGCTCACATCCATTAATCCATCAATCCATTTTGTGTAATATAGGACCCAGAGGCGGTGCTACCATTAGGCAACAGTAATCGGACGCCACTAATGGTCGAGGCCTCAGAGCAGTTTGATTTTCTCTTAATATGACATTAAATGAGACTAGTTTACTTTTAAACAAGAAAACACCGTCAAAATATTAACTAATTGTCAGATCTATTTTAACTGTTAAAGCATTCCCTCCTTTCATGTTAGAACGGATTTGTCAGCTGAACCCTGATTTTAACATAATCCATAACCGTAACCATAATCATAATCATATGTAATTGATGTGAACAAAAATGTAATTGTACTAGCAAAAAAATAAAATTACTTTTAGTTCTGGTTATCTAGTAGGCGACCTGACTAATAAGACAAGTTTTCAATCCACCATAACTGAAATAAAGATGCGCGTGTCTCATGAACAATGGGGAAAAACAGACAATACATATTAAAGAAATGCAAAAAAAAAAAAAACAACAACAAAAAACCGACAAAACAGTGCATTATAGTAAGGGCCCCAACCTCAAGTTCGCCTAGGGCCCCCAAATTACTAACTCCGCCACTGATAGGACCTTTTAATGAAGTGCTTACTCCAAAATAATTTGGTTTGGATCACATTAGTGTACACTAAAGCATTAATTTTGTATTGGTCATAAAACTACAAAATGATGAAAATGATAAAATAAGGATACCAAATGACATAATTACAAAAGAAGCTCGCAGAGCATTTCACCCAGATCCAAATGTAATGTTGCTTTACTGAATGCAGATCTTGGAATAGTCTTTATCCTTGCCTGGACTAATTGGCTGCAGTTAATTACTCTTGGAAATTAAGATGCTAACTGCAGATACACAGGGCGTTTCATTAATTATGAATTGTTTGCATAATCCCATTTGATCCGTCTCCTCCTTCAAACTATTTTCCACTGTGTTTTCACAATACAGACATTCTAAAATCTATTTTTCCACTAAGGAAGAAACAAGATACTGATTTTGATATCACAAAGATGAGAAAACAATATAAAGTCATTTTCAACAAATAACCAACAAATAGTCAACATAAAATAACCATGTGATCGGGTTGAGTGATGTGGGGAGAAAAACTAATGCAAGAATTACTTTTCAGATTCATATTTGCACAGATCTAAACTACAGGGTTAGAATTATGGTACTCCAAAAACTGTACAAATCTCAATTTTACATTACAATTACAATTACAAATACAATTACATTAAAAAGCATTCTAAATCTTTTCATGAAAAGTTATAATTTATCATTTCTGTGCGTGTTTTGATATATATATCTCCTGAAATTAGTGTTCACTTGCAATACTATTGTCAGGTTATCTTTCAAATTATTTGAAGTTACTGGTCAAAAATTTTAGATCACACAAATTTTTCCAGTTATTTTTTGCAATTCAAGTCGTGCAAGTCCAATGAAGAGCTTGAAAAGGTACAAAGGTAAGTACTGAACTGAGAGGTTAAAAAAAAGATAAAAGATGACAAAACACAAGCACAAGCTCTGCCAAAACTACCTCAGGAAAAAATAACAAGAAGGTAAACTTGAAAACATGAAGTGGCCATCACAGTCTCCAGATTTAAACCCCATCGAGCTTGTTTGGGATGAACTGGACAGAAGAGTGACAGACAAATCAACCTACAAGTGCCACACATTTATGGGAAATTCTGCAACAGACTTGGGAAGAACTTTTTGAAGAATATTAGATTTTTGTTGTAAAAAGAACGAGCCACGAGTGTGTTCAGCTGTTATATCTGCCAGAGATGGACGCTTTCATGAATCAGAAGTTTAGTATATGTTTTGGTCAACAGTAAACAGTAAAAAAAACTGAAAAAGTGTGGTGTTTGTATTGGTGTACTTACAATACCATTTTCTGTCTCAGTTATCTTAACAACCCTGTTTTGTAGTAATTGTAGCAAACACATATGCAGGGAATATGTTATTTACAAATCTTCCATTGGCTCCACCAGCGCCCTCTTTTACACCTGCCTCCTGCTCAGTGAGACGCCTGTAGCACTTCTGCATTCGGAGAAGACTTGTGAGGAGATTTCACGGCAGCAGTTTCCTTTCTGTCCTCACTTTTATTTTTAACTCCATTTGAAGTTCCCACATTTATCACACTCACACTTAACTTGAGCTTTTAATATTTATGGCTTTGTTTCACTTTGAATTTTCTCTTTCATTTTCTTTCTTTTGCCCACAGGTGCGAATTGAGACTGCCACTACTCTGAAGCTTAATATCCTTAAGAAACTCACACTATTTTAAAGTTAAAGTTTATATTTCTAATGCTATTACTGTGTTGTGTTTGATTTTGTCCTTAACGTTTGAACCTGTGGATGACTTTGAGTTTCGCACGGAGCAGTTCCTCCCAGTGAGTATTTATAATATACTGGTACAATTCTTTTTTTCAATGTTCTCATCTCATAGCTACACCTGTATTTCCATTCCGACGAGCTGATAGGAACTATTTGTTGAGTACTGTATTAATTTCACTCCCTTTTTGTGGGATATCTGAACATAAACAAGTTTTGTAGCACATTTGTGTGGGATTGCAAATATAAGATCTGACTTCTACTACCAGGAGAACAAATATTGATTAAATTTTTCCCTTTTAAAACTTTAATAAATGATCTTGTGTGTTGCTGTAAACTCCATCTTAAAGGTGCACAATGTAATTTTTCTATTTTACTTGTTTCCTGGAAATGTCATTGCGTTATTCCATCTTGCATTTAAATAATTATTAGGGATGTAACAATAACCGAAATATCGTGATATCATATCGTCAAAGTCTCACAATAATATCGTGGGCTCTCACAGTATTTCGAATTACAAGCTCCTTTGCTTAAATGCATTGTCTTATAGTAACAACAGCTTATGAACATCGGAAACTCTTATTTCTCTTTATTTATTTGTAAAGGGACAGCACATATTAATACTACTACATAGGTCTCTAAGAACAGTTGATAGTCAAGGTCAGTTAAATATAATCAATCAAAGAACCTGTCCAGGGACGACAGGTGGAAATTAGCACTTATGCTACAACCTGATGTACAGTGCATCTCTCTTGTTAAGGTAAATGCAAAAATTGTGCACTGTCCCTGTCTCAAATAAATAAATAAATGAATATTAAAATGTAAATATGTAAAGAATATAGCCAGCGTGGCTAATTTCCATCTTCAGTCCCTCTGCAGGTTGATGTAAAATCACAGGACAGGGAAAAGTACAGCAACAATCACACAAAAGTACATAAAACCAGCACACTTACTATACATATTAATTTCAAACAGTTCATTTGAATTTCAAAGTCAAGAGTTTAAGAGTTAAACCAACAACTCCTCAGTATAAAAGAAAATGTAATTTGGTTAAATTGATGTAATTTGGTGACATATTTGGCCATTGAACAACCACTGTTTTAAAGCTTTAGAAAATGCTGCCAGTGTTGAAAGTTCTTGTATATGAGCAGACACTGCATTCCATGTTTGAGCTGCTCGATAAGCAAAAGAGAGTTGTCTAGAAGCTCTTTTCCTAAACTGCACAGAGCAGTCACCTCTAGAGCCTGCTCTTTTTGTGCAATTGAACTACATATCCCATGATTCATTTCAGTGCAAACAACATGAAAATATGTTTTTTACTTGAATTCTTGAGATTATGACGGAAATAATTCACACCAAAATCTTGTCAGGGTATTTTAAAAGCAATAAAAGTGTCCTATCTACAATTATATTAGCCTCTCCAAAATATCACAATAAATATTGTACTGTGAGATGCATATCGTGATAATATTGTACCGAGAGATGTGGATATCGTTACATCCCTAATAATTTTATATTACAAGCACAGAGTGGGCCGCCTCTCCACTGATCTAACCTGTAACTTGGCCCAGTGGTATAACCTGCTTATCTCAGTAGATCTGAGTTGGTTTAATGCCGTACTTTGGGTTTTTCCAGGCTTTGCTATTACATCTTCAAGGAAACATGGCAGATCCTCCACTAGAAAAGTTACACAGTGCATCTTTAAAATGAAACTGACTGAACATTCACTATAAAATAAACTGGCAGAGTCACATTCTACCAACTAAACAAGTCATATTTTGTTTTTTCTTTGTCCTGTAGTATCTGGAATCCATTTTCGGGCTGCTCTTTCAGCTTTTGCAGCAGGTGACCGAGTGTGACACCAAAATGCAGGTGCTCCATGTCATCTCCTGTGTCATCGAAAGAGTCAATATTCAGGTACGGCTTTATTTTAGTCTCTCTCTGAGCGAAACCAGGTCAGAGAAATTTTTCAGCTCCAAGAAGTGCAGAAAGGAGAACTGCTTCAAACATAATTACATCGGCGAGGATGAGTCAAACTGCGCTACATTCTCCAGATGAAGTAACATTTTTATAAACGACCAGCTTTATTGATTCGCCATATTCTGACTTCAAATTATCTGTGCTGTAATGTCTGCTCACTACGCAGTTAATGCTACTTTTCTGCTAGTTTTCCACTACTTTTCCACTGCACTTCTTCTCATGAGTCGAATCCATATTATTCTATTTTCTGATCTATGTTATAATGTTTCCTCATCTAAAATATACATGGAGCTGTGTTTGTTTGGATCATTTTCATTTGAATTGCCAATCTCTACTTAACTAATGGTAAAAGCTTGAAAACGACTTGAAAACAATGAGGTAACAACATTATAACATGGCTTAAAACTCACAAGAGTCAATTTTGTGTAATATAGGGCGACATGATTTTTGTTATTTTTGCAGGTCTATTTGCAATATATGTTTAAAAAGTAGGATTCTGTTCTCCTCTGTACACAACTCCAGGAGCATTAATATTTGTGAGAACTCTGAAATATTATCTGATAAATTCATAGAAGAATCCCATGCATTTCAGAACATGTTTGTAGAGGTTTGTTTTGCAGAGGACAAACAATTGTAACCTTTGGGATTTGATCATTGCGTCAACTCAGATGGATTCCTCGTAAGCTCTATATTCACATACATTCTGAGAACCTGACCTTAAATTGCTGGATTTAATTTTGAGAAAAAAAAAGTCCAAAAGCATACAACCACAGCCACACAAATATAGGTTAAAAAATAAGAAATTAGTTAATGTGAGTGTTAACTGTCCTATATTATGCAAAATGAATTCTTGTGAGCTTTTGATCATATTATAATGTATGTAAAAACTAGAGCCCGACCGATATATCGGTTGGCCGATATTATCGGCTGATATGGGCAACTTTAGGCATATCGGCTATCAGCCTGATAGGGGCCGATATTTCACGTGGGCATGTTATACCTCGTTATAAAGCTTAGACTCTCTACATTCTGTTCATTTAATCCAATTTACAGACAGATAAATGTCCTAATATGTGGCTCCACATCAGTATTTATCTACGGAGTCATTTGTCTGTGTGTGTCCGTACTGTCCCTGAACACACCACAGAGTCGCGTCACTCACGTGTGTTTGTTTACACCTGCAGACACAGATCCAAACGCTGAGATTATATTCTTTTTACGGACAATCGGTTTGAGTCTGGATTAAAAGGACATTTATTAGTGCAGATTTGTGATGTGAGGAGGAGCCTGTATGAGCGGTGAGTGTTGGAAATATGTCGACTCTGAAGCTAGTTTTTGTCATTTGTTATGGGTTAGCTGCTGTAGCTCCCGCACATAAACAGACTGTTTTCTATTGGTCTGTTCTAAAGTGACTATATTGGCCGTATATTTGCTCCTGGACCTGCACTGATATGTGCGCACGTATTTATGGCTAAAGGCTAATAGCGCTACTTTCTTTACTAGTTATGGGTCCGTCGCGAACGAAATTACTCTTAGAACCGGCTCTTTGAAGGGAACGACGGGAGCCTGATCCTTATTGGGAGCCGTGTTTTCTCTTTTTCTCACTTTTTTTCTCTTCACGCCGCGTGATTCGTGGTTTGACAGCGGCAGCGGCTCAAAACGAAACTCTGAGAAATTTGCGTGTACGTAGGATTAAAAAAAATAAAAATAAAAAAACGAGCATATTTGACTGTAGTTTAGCAGGAGTCTTTTAAGCCAGTCCTGGGACTCCCAGAGCTTTTAGTCCCTTTCCATGCACACTTCCTCCAGCTCTTCCGAAAAGCGTTTTTTACCACAGGCCAGTCGAGACATATTTTTAATGGCAAATTTAACATCAAAAACAGCTTTGTTAAAACGTTAATCAACTATGAACAGCCTGTATTTTAGTCTTTTACTTTGTTGTCTGTTATCAAGAAACAGAAGGCTAAAAAGCACATCTATTATGACATGAAAGTGCTGGTCAGGAACAAGCCCAAAAAAACTGGCAAGCTACTTTCCAAAAAAGACGCCCGAAGTCGCTATAAAGAAGCAAACTTGGCAACTGTGATTCTGATCTGTCACCCAAATGGTTCTCATCCCCATGCACTGTCACTTTCTATCTCTCCTCGCCAATGGCCTCAGTTAAACCCGCTCTGTCTGTAAAAAGTCCCATTAAATATTCTTACTGGGCTCACGAGGGACTCCAGCCCACGAGGACAGGGGACAGAGCTTAAACGCAACATGATGACAGATCGGACAGGGTTTTTTCCACCCTGTCAGTCACTGAAATGTCATCACAGTCAGGTTAGGGGGACAGTGACAGCCTTGTGCGCTTTTTTAATCTTTCTTTTTTACAGTTCTTTCAGCGTTTTTGCAAGTTCTTGTGTAGGTGTAATTGAGTAAAATAATCCCAAAGTGGGGTTCATGTCCCAGTCTTAGTTTAGGGTTTAAGCAGACAAGTTCAGCACTGACAAGAGAACTTTTACAAGCCTACGTATTCACTCACATGAAAACCAGTTTGTACCATGGACCTTCACCTGCAGAGTTTTGTTAAAGATGCACTATGCAACTTTTTTTAGTGGAAGGTACACCGCCTGCTTGTGTCCATGGAGCTGTTATTGATTTGTGTTCCACATTATGACATTAAACTAATCAATATTATGGAGACAAGTGGGTGATGCTACTACTAGGCCAAGTTTTATATATTATGCATATTTTTCCAAGATACTTTTGATCAGTATAAACACTAGGGACGTAACAATAACCAAAATATCGTGATATCGTATCATCAAAGTTCTCACAGTAATATCATGGACCATCATAATATATCGAATTACAAGTCTATTTGCTTAAATTAAGAGTTATGGTGCAGCAGTAGCTAAGAAAAGACAGAGGGAACTACATAGACCATGATCCTTTGCTCCATTTCAGTGTAGACTACAAGAAGAAATAACAGTTCTAAGCACTTTTAAGTCTTAGTTCTTTGGATTAGAGAGGAAAAAGTAACATATTAACAGTTTTAGCTGTTTAGCCTCCACAAATATCACAATAAATATCGTACCATGAGATGTATATCGTGAAAATATCGTACAGAGAGATTTGGATATTGTTACATCCCTAATTGTGAGCCTCCCCACCATACTGTGAGCTCTCCCACGATATCGCAGTAAATATCGTACCGTGAGGTTCATACCTTGATGGTATTGTATCGTGAAACTTGTATATTTTTACACTCCTAATAAACACCTGTAATTTAATAAATGTAAGACAGATACAGTTAATGCCATACTTTGGAATATTGAAGGCAAAGGAATAACATTTGCAGGCTGATGATGGAGAACCCTCTGCCAGAAAAATTATATAGTGCACCTTTAATGTGTAAAACCTTTCTGTAGTTAAACCAGAAGCTTTAAATCTTATAGTTTGTAGCTCATGATTTAACTCTTTCCCCCATGAAGACGGCATTTGACGACCCTCCCTTGTTTCCTTAATGACGTCTTTTGACACCTCCGCTGTATCACTAAAGACGTGATTTGACGACCATTACAAATGGCTCGGTTTTTCACATGTAATCAGAGGCTGTGATAGGTGGGAGCCACTACAACCCATATATACTAATATATGTATGGGTTGTTCCAAGTAGGCGTCCAAGGGGGTAAGAGTTAAAGTCTGGAAATCTGTCCCCTGTCCCCTGAAATCTGTCCCTATGTCTGCTTGACAAGAGGTTGAAGGATGGGTCAAATATAGAGGACACGTTTCCTGTCTGAGACTCTAAGACGGGGTGTCAAACTCATTTTGGTCCGGGGGCCGTATCCAACCTACTTTGATCCCAAAGGGGCCGGATCAGAAAACTCATGGCATATAAACCCCAAAAATAACAATAAGTTCAAATATTTGTGCAGAGAAATGCAAATCTATTACAGAAATCTTTTTTAATTGATGATCTCTTTCTTATTAGAATATTAGAATATTATGAACAACCTGAAACTTTAAGAAAAATTCAAATTCAACATTTAAAATATTTTAGTAGAAAATGACCCAAGGGCCACATTAAAGGTCTTGGAGGGCCGGATCTGGCCCCCGGGCCTTATGTTTGACACCTGTGCTCTAAGACTTTGCTTGTGTTCTCGGAGATGTCATTGTTTTTGCCTGAAATCTTACACAATATGGCATTAAAGTTATCCCCATGGAGAGAACCAGGTGACGACAGCAGTCCAAGTTACAGGTCAGAACTGTGGAGAAGTGAGCCCATTTGCAGGTATTTCCAAAGTATTTTTTAGCTATAAAAACACTCTGTTATTTGAGGCAAAGCAAAACACGTCCATGGAGAAGAACAGATTATAGACTCCCCACTAGAAAAGTTACATACCACATCTCTAAAGTTTGCAAACACAAATGCGATTTTGTCAAAGCGCTTGGATCAAAGGGTTGTATATTTCTTGTTTATCAACTGTATTTTTATTTTGTGTTTTTCAGATCCGACCGTACGTGGGCTGTCTAGTGCAATACTTACCTTTGCTGTGGAAACAGTCTGAAGAACACAACATGCTCCGATGTGCCATTCTCACCACTCTCATTCACCTAGTTAAGGTACTGAACTAACAGTGAAAACTTATACACTATATATTCAGCTCTTTCCCATTAGCAGTATTTGCATAGACAAAAGAACAGACTTTGCAATTATAGCTTTTGCTTGTTCTTGCGTCTTATTGCAGACATTTTCAATCTGTGCTGTAAGTAATTTCATGTCTCATCACACAATTTTACTTGGTTTAAAGCTTTAAATTTTAGTGCCTTCAAACAGATTTCTTCAGGATTCCTGTTCCTACACTATCACTCAAAAGTTTGGACACATCTTCGTTTATAGGGTCCATATTATGATATTTTCTGATCTATGATATAATGTTGTTTCCTCATCAAAAACATACCTTGTGCTGTGTTTCGCTGAGTTCTTCCCTCAAACAGAAAACACTCCACTACACACTTTCACTAGAATAATTTGGATCATTTCTGCACAGGAATTGCCGATCTCTACTGAACAAAAAGTAGGTGTTTATTTGAAAAGTACCACTTGGCACAAGGTGGAACAGAGCATTTTGAGTTTTGGAGATGTAGACAGACTAAAAATAAAAGATTACTCAAACATTTGTGAATGAAACGAAACACAACTCCATGTACCGTATTTTCCGGGCTATTAGACGCGCTCTTAAGCCTTTAACCCTATCAAAAAACAACTGCACACCCCGCAATCCAGAGCGCTCCATACACAAATCCACTCGGGTGTCCCAGCCCGACTTCAGTAAACTACAAAGCCACACCACCTGCAGCGCACGCAAACACGCACGGAGCAGACAGCGACTGCGCAGCGAAAAACACCCACAGTCACACTCATCACTCCACGCGGACGAGGAACGGAACGGAGGAACGAACCGAAAAAGCCACACAATGTGCCACACATTGCACTCGCTTTTTCGGTTCGTTCCTCCACTTCTAGCCACAACTGAACAACTGAGTCACTGCGAACACGCCAACAATCCAGCGGTCCCAGACAGCACCCTCCCTACACGCCACAACTGAACAAAGCCGAGAGTCACCGTGAACACGCCAAATAAAGTTCGACTAACCATCGAACTGTTGTGTTTTGTTTAAAGTCCGGTGCGGTTTATTTGTGAAAAAAGTTTGAAAATAGACCATTTAATGACAGTGCGCCTTATGTGCCTAATAGCCCGGAAAATACAGTATGTTTTTGAGGAGGTAACATGGCTTAAAACTCAAGAGTCAATTTTGCGTAATATAAGACTTTTAAAACATAAATATTCAATCAAAGCACAATCACACAATTTATTATTATTGTTTTTTGTTTATTTATTTTGTTTTTATTTTATTTTGGAGATCATAGTTGTGATGAGCAATGTAAAAATAATTGCCTTGATGTATCTGTTGAATACTCCATAATAATGCCATTTATCATTTATCATTTGTGGAAACATCCGAATAAACTTATCATCACAGTGCTTGTCAGTAAAATAAGAATTCCCCCCAGAAAATCACTAGTGTAGACTGTATTCATATTGTTTGGGTCAGTTAAGGGTTGTGGTTTGTTAAAAGGCGGAGGTGGAACTTCAAGGAGAGCGTATATATTTTAGAGAACTTTATGTAGCCAGTCTAAACATCAGTGGCACGGAGTCTACACTTATCATGTGAGTGTGTCAAGGACAGTGGGTATTTTTAGCTTGTTATCTCCTCACTTTGTTTTGTAACTGGTTCATACACTACTGTAACCTCCCTGATACTTCTCAAGGTTATATCCTGCTCTTTTGTGGCATATGCAAATGTTGACTTTTTCTTTAGAGGTCGCCCGGTGAAATAACTCTTAAAATTAACTGTTGAGCAGAATTACAATATGAGAATATGAAAAATGACCCTGTTGATAAATATTGGCAGAAACAATATCCGAGTTAATTCCAGTATTTAAATTAGGGTCCAAAATGTGCTGCTCTCTGCAATAAAACCAGTTTGTTCGTCGATGTCCATGCGCTCTGAAGAATACACAGTCTATATTTTACAAAGAGGTCAAAAACTTATATTTTTTAAGCCATTTAGATGTAAATGAAATAAATTGAAAATGTTTGTTTACGTGTTGATTGATCCATTGACTTGTTAATGCCATTACTTTTTTATTGTTCTCTAAATAATACATTATTTTTTTTCAAGTAAATGACCAAATAAATTGTTTTGATGAGGCATGGGTGGTAAATTGGTTCCAGTATTTGTCGGCAGAGATTAATACCGATGCCGATATTTTTAGACACTGCCCCAACAGGCAAATTAATTAAAATGCAAATAGAACACCGTTATATAGCTGTATGTTACACAAACATGTAACAAATAATTTTAAATGCCTCTAAAATTTAACTTAATTTCAGGGCCTCGCTAAACGTTATCATCCAATCAGATTTGTCTTGTTACAGTGATGCATGTGAAACAAAGGAGCTCATTGGTCACAAGTAAAATAATCTTGAAAAGAAGAAACCACGCTCCTTATCGAAAGTGAAGTTGTAGGTTTCGATCCTGAAACTATTTTGATACGGCTTTGTTACTTTTGTTATTCAACTGAGATAACTTCAACGTCGTTCCTAAAGTATTCTTCGATGCCACTGCCTACAGATCCCGCCTAGAGAAAGAATAACAACAACACAAAAAGGGAATGCTCATCTTCAGATAGTTTCAAGTTGACTTCTGTTGTCCTTTTGTGCGTCGTTTCTTCTCTGTGTCTTTGACGTGTGTTTGGGTTGTTTCAGGGCCTGGGGGCGGAGAGTAAGAACCTCTATCCTTTTCTTCTGCCCGTCATCCAGCTGAGCACCGATGTCTCCCAACCGCCGCATGTCTACCTGTTAGAGGACGGACTGGAGCTGTGGTAAGATCAACTACACTGACACTGATAAATTAAACATGAGGTGCCCAACTTGTATTTTTTATGAAATAGTAAATCAGCGTATTGTAGTAGCAGAACTTTTACTTTTATTCTTCGACCTTTAGGACTCTCATTTTTTTTAAAACATTATTTATTTGGGGTTAGTTCTTCTCTCAAACAGAAAGCACACTGTTCCACCTTGTGATGTCATATGGTAACACAGGAAGTGCTCCACTGTGTTTTTAAACTCCATACACCCTCACTAGAATTTGGATCATTTCAGCCCTGGAATTGCCAATCTCTTCTGAATAAAACGTAAAAAGTAACTGTCTGAGCTTTGAGATGTAAACAGACTAATAATAAAATTTCTCAAGCATGTGTGAATGACATAAAACACAACTCCGGGTATGTTTTTGATGAGCTAACAGCATTTTAACATGGCTAAAGCTCACAAGAGTCAATTTTGTGTAACATAGGACCTTAGGACCTTTAAAGATGTGGCTGCAATTCATAGCCTTACTACTTTGATTTGGGCTATAATGTTTAATTGAGGTGTGGTCTGAGAAAAAACAAACAAACAAACAAACTAGAAGGTAAGGGAATGGTTGACATGGCAATAAATGATTTTTGTTAAGGTGCACTATGTAATTTTTATAATGTAATTGTAACTGCCACTTGCTTGTCTCCATGGAGATGTTACTTTTTCACATGAAATGCTTCACATCGTGGCTTTAAACTCATCTATCTGGCATGTATTAAATTGTGGGGTAAGTTTTCTTGTTGGTAAGATATTTGTTAAGCTTAACAAATATGCAGTCTCAGGTTCACCTTTCCAAAGATCTGACCTGTAACTTAGCCTGGTGGTGTCAAATGCCTAGGGCTGGGTATAATTAAGAAGTTGCCGATACGATACATACATCGATACATAGGCCACAATACAGTACATATCTTGATACAGTGCACTTTGATATGATTCAATAAAAAATAAAGGCTAAATCATGGCTGTGATACTAGACTTTGTTAAACCACTTCTTGTGCAAAGTGAATATGATAAACGTTCATTTTACTCATCAAAACAGTGAAAATGTCAAATGTGTCACATAAATGAGTTTCCTTCCTCTAAAGAAACAACAAAACTGTAGCACTGTAACAAAATAATTTGGTAAAATATACCAAAAAATACTCTTGGCAATATATTGATACAGCAATCCATGATATTGATACTGTATCATAACTAGCGCTGGGTATCATTAAAAAGTTGTCGATACGATACATGCCTCGATACTTAAGCCATGATACGATACACTTTTAGATACAGTACACTTTTGATTCAGTATGATTCGATATGATATATTTCAAATTAATTCAATATGGTTCATTAAAAAACAAAGGCTAAATCATGGCTGTGATACTAAGTCCATTAAGTCTGTGCAAAGTTAAGATGAAAAACGCCCCTTTTACTCATAAAAACTGTGAAAATGTCAACACAACTGTAGCTCTTACACAAAATAATTATTAAAATATACCTAAAAATACTCTCGGCGATATATCAACACAGCAGCCCATGATATCGATACTCTATCATCACATTAAACGATACGATATATACCAATATTTCAGTATTTTTGCACACCCCTAATGGAGATACATATAATTAATGTCAAAAGTAGTGGAACATTCCAGGCAAAGCAATACTGTATCCATGGAGAAAGGCATGGCAGAACCTCCACATAGTTACATAGTGCACCTTTTAAAGACTGGATCTCACAACACTCAGAAAATTAAACTTTTAACTTATTTTTTTTTAAACTTTTCTTCTGCTAGTCAGCTGCATGTCTGTAATGAAAAGAATATCCCCTTGGGGTTGAAGAAAAGCAATTCTGATTCTTGTTCTGATCTGATTCAATTCATGTATACGCAGTTCTCGTTAACTTCCCAGCATAACTGCCCAAGTCATTTTTTAGGTTTTGGGGAAAATTGAAAAGTAAACTTCCTATGTTAATAAGATGACTTTTTTGTTTGGAAAAATCTTTCTGATTGGTCGAGAACAGACTGATAGCCCCCTACAGTACAGAAGCAGCCCGGTATGGAGAGTAGAATGAGACAGAAAACTCAATTTGGCCAAAAAATGACTGTGAGGCAGCGATATTTTACCTTTAAGAAGTAACTAAAGCTTCACCTGTTTATTCAAAAACCTATTGTAAACACAAATCCAGCAGAGTCCTGTTTGATGCAGCAACACATTTTCACCAAGAGTCAGAAATGGTTTACTCCAGACAGAAAGTAATCAGGTCCACCGTGACTGAATGTTGTGGCTACATGCGTGAAAACCTCTATATCAAGAGAAGATGCTGAGGGAGGGTTATACCAGGGCATTTCCCTTGTCACATACAGACTATAACACCATCTGGACCGAAAATCATCTGTCCTTAACTTCCCCAAGAACCTCAAAAGTCTTTGTAACTTCACATATGACTTTTCACTTCTTTCTTTAAATGGGTTAGATGTGGCTTTGACTAATTGAGCACACTGTTTGTTAAAGTACTCCAGAAAGTCTTGCTGTAAACAAGATATTACATCTAAATTAGCGTCTACTTCCTCTCTACTCTGGCAATAAAAATACTTCCTTATTAGATGTAGACAGTACACATCATTCTTGTTTTGACCTCAAGATCTGATTTTACAATACTGCAAGACAACTTTGCTCAAATGTAAAAAATGATATAGTCTCTTTAAGGTCACGACCTCAACCAAAAAGAAAATACCAAAAAAGTATATGTTGCTGCTCATTTCTGTATAATATTCCGCCTCAGACTACAGTCATAGTTCCAACACTTGTAGAGAAATAGAAAGCGCCGGATGAAGTGTAATCCCTTTAAAGATGCAGATTTGGACTGACTCAGACTTGGCGTTTGAAGTGAGATCAGTGGGCGATGGAGCTCCCTCATGCTGCTTTGTTGTTTCAAGCATATGTTTTTTTAAGCCATGTCAGGAATTTGCTGCTATAAAGTGCATCCATACATTTTAATAATAATAATTTACTTAGCAGCACTAGGGTCCTTTAGTCCTTTATTTGTTTATTTGTCCTATATTATACAAAATTGACTCATGTGCGATTTAAGCCATGTTATAATGTTGTTACTTCCCCAAACACAGACCCGGAGTTGTGTTTTGTTTCATTCACACAAGTCTGAGCAATCCTGTGCTAGGATTGAGCAGTAATCAACCTTTATACCGTTAAGCCCTCTCAGGATTTTACCGGGGTATACAGTATTACCATATTACCAAAATGTTTTAGTATGAATTCGGTAGGCTACGAAGCCACACCGCTATATGGTCTGTACATATGACCTGCAGATTCTCTGAAAAGTTTCACATGAACCATCTCCAACGCAGTACACGCAGTTCAGACTCACCATCAGCTGCACATCCTCTGTCGCAGGAAGAACACATATATTCCACTGAGTCGTGTCCTTTAGTCTGACAGAACCTGAACCGCATCAGTGCACAAGGAAAGAGCTGTTTTTATCAGCGCTTTGTAGTTTATGCAAATGAGCCATGTGGTTTTAAGTTTTGTTTCTGTAAAACGTAAACAAATGTACGCCTGAAACCAAAATGCTGCCAAATTGCAGAAGTACTAGCATTTTTGGGGGGGACCAACTCGCTCGCGGCCGGATTTACCATCTTGTCTTGGTCTCCGTTATGAGCGTCACGTGACGACGGAACAAAACTCATCGAACGTCATCTCCCCACGCAGTTAAAAGAACCATTATAGAAACTATTACTTTTAAATTGTGATAGCATTACATTGAAAATACAACCACACATTCGTTTGTGCTGAGCAAACAAATTTAGGTTTCAATAAATTACAATATTATATTAGGTCCTTATGAGCTGCAGATTTTTTTAATGACGATAATGTAACTGCTGCTGTTGCTACTTTATGATACCGTTGAGATACTGTAATACTGTAATTACCGCCCAACCCTAGTCAAAATACGCTTTTCCACCTTGTGATGTCATGAAGTGGTGGCTTTCAAGATAACAGCTAACTTTTATCTTTTACCTTCAGTAGAGATTGACAATTCCATGGTTGAAACCATTGAAATGATTCTAGTGAAGGTGTGTGGAGTTAAAAAACACAGTGGAGCAATTCCTCTATTACCATGACATCACATGGTGGAACAGAGAGTTTTCTGTTTTTCAGGTTAAAAGGTACCTTAATTTGAAAACTCACGCTTCATGAGCCACAATCTGATACGTATCTCAATACAGTGCACTTTCAACTCGATACAGTTTGATAAGATGTATTTCAAACTGATTTAATACGGTTCAGTATAGCACCTTTGTAAATGATCAACGGCATTTTCACATTTAAAAAATACAAAACATTAAAGGCTCTAAATTATGCAAAATGAACCCTGGGATCTTAAAGCCATGTTAGAATGCTGTTACCTCATCAAAAGCATACCCAATTGTGTTTTGTTTCATTCACACGTTCACCTTTATTCATCTTTTATCTTGAAAACTACTGCTTCATGACATCAAAAGGTGGAACAGAGCATTTGGAGACATAGGAGATGTAGGCAGACTAATAATGAAGGATTATGCAAACATGTGTGAATGAAACAAAACACATCTCCAGGTATGTTTTTGATGAGGCAACATCATTATAACATGGCTTAAATCTTGAGTCAATTTTGCGCAATATAGAACCTTTGAACTTTTCTGTTTAATTTTTTTTGTGCAGTAGTATTATGTGTGCTGTTTGGATACATGGTCAGATCATAAACACTCAAAAGTTTGAAGAGCTTTCGCCATACTCCCCCAATAGTCCACTATTTAGGCATCCAAGAATCTCTTTAGTTGACTATAGTGTGGTCACAATACTAAAATTTCAAAGGCTTGATACGTTATACGAATGTTGAAACCACAATGATGGGAAAAAAAGCAACACGTGGACAATAGAATGACATTTTAAGCACAAAATACCGTGATAATGCTTTCTTTAAGTTACCATGTGGTTCTTACTGGTGTTGATAGTATTCAAGATTACTCTAAAACTCAAAAGTTCAAATCAGGTCGTGTTTATGTGATGTTTTTTTCAGTATCGATACTTGTTAAAATTAGTATCTATTTTCAATACTGGTTTTAGTATCGATTAGTATCTGATTTTCGATACTTTTGGCAGTTCTAGCCGACTTCAGCTCTAAACTCTCTACGCGATAAAAGAGAATGAGTTCCTGATTGTCCTCTGCCTTCATCCAGCTCCATAGTGCATCTTCCCCGTCTCCGTCTTGTCTTTTATCCTTCCTCATCGACAATCAACTCCTAAATGTTTGTTTACGCCACGAAGCCAATGTCATTTTCTCTGCTTTTATCTCTGATCAGCTGGAACCCCTCCATCCTCACAGTCTGCCCAGCTCATTTTGTCTCCATTGTGAAGTAGGCAGCACTGCATTCCCTGGCATCGTACCTGAGTAGTTTAGCTTTGGTATTTTCATAGCTATAAGTAAACACACTGTGAGGACATACTTTGTTTACAAGTTTAACACTGTAGGGTTGTATAGTCTACTAAAGAAATTCTTGTTTGACCAAATACATGTCCTGCCGATTGGTTAGTTGACTGAAAAGATGTAATAATTCTACACAGTTAATAGTTGCCCAATTAATCCACACATAGATTTTCTTAACTTAACTTTTACTTTCTTTAATATTCAGGTTTGAGGTTTATTAACATTTTGGATTGACCGAGAACACTATAGTTGTTCAATTATAAAATTAATCCTCATAAATACAACTTACAGCTACAGTGCAGTACTTATTGTATTTATTTTATTAGGTGTGTTTTTCTTGCTCAAAAGTACCTTAAAAAACCTGCATTCTTGGTGTGAGTAAGCTTGCATCTCCACACATCTGACCAGTAAATTAGCCTGGTGTCACTGCCTGCTTTCTCCAGGGAGATTAGGCCCTATTTTGGAAACAAGCACCTGTTGGACTTTGCAGACAAGTTTCGCAATGCCCCTTTAATCTGCCTTTTTACATATAATTCTTCAGCTAACTCACTAACTTCTGCTTTCTGTTATTATCCAGTATAAATACTCTAAATCTAAATAAAATAACTTCTCGACTAGGGCTGGGTATCATTAAGAAGTTGCCGATACGATACGTACCTCAATACATAGGCCACGATATGATACCTATCTCGATACAGTGCACTTTTGGTTCGATACGATATATTTCAAATCGATTTGATAGGGTTCAATAAAAAACAAAAGTTAGATCATGGCTCTGATACTAAAAGTGTTTGTTAAACCACTTCTTGTGTAAAGTTCATCTGAAAAATGTCTATTTTAATCATCAAAACAGTGAAAATGTCAAATGTATTGCATAAAAAAAAGTTTCCTTCCTCTGAACAAACAACAAAACTTTAGTGCTGTAACAAAATAAATAGTGAAAATATACCCCAAAATACTCTTGGCGATATATCGATACAGCAGCCCACAATATCGATACTGTATCATCACATTAAACGATACGATATATCAATATTTTTGCACAACCCTATTGTCAACTAATGCACATTTTGGTTGATTAAGACTAAATGACTAAAGAACTACAGCCCTATTAAAGGTCCTATATTACCTCATCAGAAACACACCTGGAGGTTTGTTTTGTTTCGTTCACACATGTTTGAGTAATCCTTTATTATTAGTTTACGTCTTCAAATGTCAGAATGCTCTGTTTCACCTTGTGATGTCATGAAGTTGTAGTTTTCAAGTCAACAGTCACCTTTTACCTTTTGTTCTATAGAAATAGCTAATTCCAAAGATGAAATGAGCAAAATGTTTCTAGTGAAGGTGTACGGAGTTTACTACACACTTACACAGGGACACACTTACTGTATCACCACATGACATCACAAGGTAGAACAGAGTGTTTTCTCTCTGAGAGAAGAACTCAGCCTAAATATGCAGGGTTTGTGTGTTAAAGATGTATGAATGAAACCAAATACAACTCCAGGTCTGTTTGTGATGATGAAACAATATTATAACATGGATCAGAATATAGTGTATTATGGGCCCTTTAATACACTTTGTCCTGGTCTGTCCCAGTAACACATTTTGAAGTCAGTTATCAATATTTAGAAAAAGTTGTCTCTGCTTATTAACAATTCTGCTGGGCAGTCCTAGAAAACTCTTTTTTAAATTAACTAAAAAGAAAAGCACAACTGTTTGAGTTGTTGCAAAGGCAAACAAATCAAATAATTGGGTGAAGTAATTACAGCTGCTACTGTTAAACCAAACTGAAATTAAATCCAAGGTCCGTTAGCGTTTTCATTGAAGTGTTTCTTTTTTCGTTAAAGTTAATAGCTCCAACATGCACTCGATTTGGTGCAAAAAGCAGCTCTTTAATCACAATTGATCCTAGGATATCATTAGCTGGTAAACACTGAGGACACATCATATTGTCATGAGCCTTTTTGGTTTTATTTATTTTTGAAGAGCTCATTTTGTTTTCTGATTAAATAATTGCCTTGAATAAAAATATTGAAATGTTTTTTATTGTTTACAACTAAATCAGAATTACAAATGGTATCAGTGAACTCAATATTTGTAGCATCACCTGCTTGCCTCTGTGGATATTGGTATATTTAATGTCATACAGTGGAACATGGAGACAAGCAGGTGGCTGGCCCTTTAGAATAAAAGTTACATATAGTGCACCTTTAAATTGTATACAAACTTATTCATGGGTTAAATTGTTTCCATGTTATAATGTTGTTTCTTCATCAAAAACATACCTGAGATAGTTTCTTTCACCTTGTGATGTCATGTGGAAATACAGGAAGTGCCCCAATCTCTATTGAATTGCCCATCTCTACTGAACAAAAGGTAAAAGGGAGCTGTTAACTAGAAAAGTATTGCTTCATGACATCACAAGATGGAACAGAGCATTTTGAGCTTTAGAGATGTAGACAGACTAATAATAAAGCAGTATATTATCTATATTTGAGGAGGTAACGAACATTGTAACATGTCTTAAAGCTCACAAGAGTCAATTCTGTGTAATACTGTATAGGATCTTTAATTATTATGGCAAGTGTCCTAGTTTTTCATAATTCTCAAACCCATATTTAACCCATATAACATGGTTCATCTTGTTAAAGTTTATTGTTTTTAAATGACCCTGATTAAAATGTTCTTTTCTTTCAGTCTATAATCTAGCTGTATGTCCCTTCAGTTTTTCACTATGCTTGTCTTGTATCGTGCCTGGCGGTCTCATCTGTCCCCGTGTCTCTCTGTGACTGTGCAGGTTGGTGACTTTGGAGAACAGCCCTGCCCTCACCCCGGAGCTGCTCAGAATCTTCCAGAACATGCCGGCTCTGCTCGGTAAGCGCACACACCACACCCCTCTGTTCCTCTGGCTCCAGGCTTTGTCCTTGTCAGGCTAATGAAGGAGGCAAACCATGTGTATTGCATTAGAAAGACGAAACAATAGCAACTTTTAAAGGACACATCTTATTTCAATCTTTCATTATTTCAATTTCCCCTAGATTGTTACATCACAGGTAGGGCCTTCTGTGCAAAGGCCATAAATCATTGGCAGACTTGGGCTCAACATGTCTACCATCAAATTGTGTTTGTTACACTTGTGTGTTTATCCAGGCCACATTGGTTAAATTGCTAGTTTTATTTATTTTTTCCTTGGGTTATCATCTTCTGCTGCCAGTAGAGAGCATGTTAACACTAAATCCAAGTAGGAGGAAGCACAACTGATGCACAGTGATATGTATTTTCTATTAATGGACTTGATTTTAATCTCTAAAACATGAAATACTAAAGCAAAGGTACCCAAGAGCATGTTCAAATGACAATGACAATGGAATTGATGCATAATATGATCTACAATACAATGAACAGTGATGATGCAGTATATTGCGCCTGTTTTAGTTAAAATAACAGGATAGTGTCAAAGCTCTTTCTTGTGATGATGTTCATGGCAACTCTCATTGGATACTGCATTTTTCTAGAGTAGAAGTAAGCAAACTCATTTCTTTTATTAAGTAATTTTAGATTAATATTTAAAATGTGCAAATTATAACATAATAATCCACAATGACATATCTTAGATTATAAATTATAGCTATATAGCAAACATAACTACAGTAGTTTAAACAGTTTGCAACCAGATTATCGGACAACAAAATGCTTTCAAATTAGATGTAGACAGCACGCAGCAGATTTATTTTGACCTAAAGAGCTACTTATAAAATACATCTGTTCTGGGGCAAGACAAAAATTGCTCTCATTATGGATACTACCAAATAAAAAACCTTACAAATTGCACTTGGTTTGTTTTTACAGGACTTTCTAGCAGCCGTACGTAAAACAAAGCCTCTTTGTTGCACAACTTAAAGCCCTTTAGACTAACTTTAGAAACAACAAAACGAATGGGAGAACGAATGAAAGTTGAAGTATGGATTGACAAGTTGCACAGTCAGAGCAGTGAACTGTGGCCCGGCCGCGCAGATTACAGATGTGTCCGTAGAGCCTCTCCAGAGCTCGCGCGACGCTGTGACTGCTGCCAGATTGAAAGGAAGTGCTTGGGTGATTTAGCGCAGGCTGGAGGGACAGATGGGCCTCTGGAGGTGTGTGTGCATGTGTGAGAGAGAAGGAGGGAAGATGGGGGAGAGAGAGAGGGGGGCTATTGATTTGGTGCTTCAGATCATAACAAGTCGGTTGGGCTAATATGAACATGACTGGAGTCGGATTGGATGCAGTGTGGAGAGTGCAGACTGGAGCAGGCACTGTGAAAGGGTTTATATTACTGTATTTTACTTAAACATGTGTGGATGAAACAAAACACAACTCCAGTGTGTTTTTTGAGAAGGTAACAACATTATAACACGACTTAAAGCTCACAAGGGTCAATGTTGTGTAATATAAGATGTTTAAAGATGGAAATGTGAAGGGCTAAACACTGACTGAACCTTAGAAGAGCTATGTGTTTATACTGTTGCTTCAGTGAAATCATTTGTGTTTTGTATTATATACTGAGTGTTATGTCTAAATTGCTTGTGTTAGGGTTGTGTAATTAATCAAATTATAATTAGGATTATTGCTGTGATCATTCAGAAAAAAAATGATGTTTACTATTTAGTGCTCTTGAGTGGAAAAGTTGCTGTCTGATTGCACCATTTGACTTGTAGAGCACGTATACAATCTATTGTTGTCAGATACGTCACCGACTTTGATTTAATCTGTTCGTTCTCTTCATTATAGACGCACTGATGCACCACCTTCTCCAAGCAAATAATCATTTGAATAATTTGTATTTCCATTGTGGTTTAAACTGATGTAATAATCACTTTATAATAGAAAGTCCTATCTTAAAGAAATATGCTGGAGAAATCTCAAGGGTTAGGAAATTAATGCCCAGATGCAAGTATTTATTAAAACTGGATACTCATATCAATATAACAGAAAAGTTTTGAGCTTTTCTGTATTATAAACACATAATTAGAAAAATATTTAAAATTTAACTTTTTCCTTGTTAAAAATTACATTGAATTAATAACAAAATATTTGAATATGGAGATCGGAGAGCCTTTATTTTTTTTTAGAACTAGTACTCTATGTTATGTTTGCTAATTCTGTTTATTGGTGTTAAATATCAAGTTTGTTTTTTGTAGAATTTGAAGTTGAAACAGTATTTTTGAACTGTCTTATTTATTTGCATTTTCTAGCAGTTCTTGGTCTCTGTTGTCACGGTGCAATATATTTGTCTGGACTTATCTCGCTCTCTGTTGTTTGAAATACATCATACCAATAAAAACAGCACAATCATACCTTTTTACGCTGATTCCACCTATTCTGACGATATCAGTTTGTGTCTGCACAGTGTACTTGAAGTGTGGTTCTGTATTCCAGTCCAGTCGACATCTCTGGCACTTTTTCATACAAACATCCGGCGGTTCATTTGTTTAGTCCTCGGAGAGAGGAGGAGGGATGTGGATCATTTGGAGGTGCTGGCTGGCTTTGATGTCAGGGTGCCAGGTATGTGGCCTGGACTGCCCGATAAAGAAACATGCTCCATCACTCCAAACTAGAGCAGCAAATTCTCTAATTATAATGTCAAAAGCCCTGCCTCGACTAACTGCTCTGACTAGCTCTGCTCTGTATCTCTGCCTCCACACTCTGAACACTGTGTAGTTATGATGAATGGGGGAATCGCTTTATGCTTGTTTAGGTGTTATATTTTTATGGGGAGAATACATCCTATCTATGTAAATACTCTCATTTAAAGAGCCTTTGTATTTTTCATGTGTTTGAGCAATATTTGTCCCAGAACAGATATACTGCATAAGCAACTTTTGAGCTCAAAATAAGTCTACTGTGTTCTGTCTCCATCTATAATTATTATGAAGTGTTTTATTGTCCACCAAACAGGAAGAGTGTGTTAGCCAGTTGTTATAAACTGCTACATCTGCTCTGTAAAATCCGTGGATAGGATATTGCTGACTTAGAGCTGTCTTGACTTGGTGTAGTGACCATTCATTGGCACTTCAGCGAAAAAATTGCGCCTGCCCAGAAATGATTTTTCCCATAGAGCGCAATGTAATGACAAATTGCTTGTATTCGGCTGACAGGGAACCTACAGCTTTCAAAAATGTCAGATTTGGTGGCGATTTTGACAGTTTTTTTTAGATCATAAACTTTTTCTCAGCTCAAAATCCTACATTGTCTTAAAAAACTGCTTAGCTCTACCTCAGCCCAGTGACCTGAATGAGCGACCATGTTTAGACTCTGGGCCTTGCACTGCCCTGCACTCTGAACACTTCCACTGTGTAGTTATGATGAATGGGAGAAGAAAGAAGTGCGTGGTTAGCATGGTAGTTGCTATAAACTCATCACGGTGAAATATTTAGGATGTGCGAAATGTATAAGGAAAGTTAGGAATAACTTTGGACAAACTGCAAGCTGATTCTGTTTTATAACATTTAAATAAAATCGGCCACAGTGCATTTAATTTTGTCAGCATAAAGCTTTTGTTACTTGTTGACGTATTGACAGCAGGAAAAGAAACCACACCGTTAACCAGACTCTAAAATTAAATGTCTTACTCGAGTAGGAATAAAAGTATGTTGTTGTGTACTACCCACCGGTCAAACTAAAGCAGTAAATTCTCAGATTATAATGTGAAAAGGCCTGCCTAGGCTAACCGCTCTGCTCTGTATGGCTGCCCCCCACACTCTGAACACTTCCACTGTGTAGTCGTGATGAATGGGAGGAATTGCCCTTTGCTTTTGTTGGCATTATATTTTCAAGATGGGCCACACACAATGAGGAGAAACACATCAGATCTATGCAAATGTTCTCTTTTAAAGGGCCTGTACTTTTCTACAGTGTGTGTGTGGTTAGCATGCTAGTTGCTGATGGTAAACTCCACTCCTGCCTCTGAAAGTTGTGATAATCTCATTACGGTGGCATACTACGTAAGGTAAGTGAGGAACCACTGACCACGGGATCTGTTTTTCATGTTTTTAAAAGCGCCTTTAATGTCAGCATAAACCTTTTGTAACTTATAGACTTATTGACAGTTGGAAAAGAAAACTTTTTCATTTCCAGAGTACTGTTACACTGTAATATTAAATGTGTCACTCAAGTAGGAATACAATTATGGTGTTTTGTACTTCCCACCTGTCAAACTAGAGCAGCAAATTCTCTGATTAGAATGTGAAAACTTGAAAAGGGAGGACTCGCTGATGATACTGTACATAGACAATAACAAAAGACGAACGTGTCTGTACTGTTGCAGTGTTGGTAACAGTGTAATTTGCTGCTAGCATGTAGTCTAACATCTGCCTCCCTTCTGTGAGAAACACCAAACTCTTTTCTACACACTTTACAGAATGCTTTCATTTCAATGCTTAGGGCTTTGGTAATCCACAAGTACTTAACGACCCACTCCTCCCGGTACCTGCATTGATGCTTTTGCTTTTTAGCAGCGTGTTGGGGTTCTGGTACACCAGCCATGTTGAATGAATGAAAATTATCTTATTGCCAGTGCATATTCGTGCCTACTTGTACAATGTCAAAAACTACTACTGACTACTACAGTATTTTAAGTCGCTCCTGAGTATAAGTCTCACCAGCCAAAAAAAACGTAATCAAGAAAAAAACATATAAGTCACACCTTTTGGGGGAACATTTATTTTATAAAATCAGAGACCAGGAACTGGCATTTCATCTTGAAAGGCAAGTTATAGTAATAACAATAGAATAGAGAATAACAGGCTGAATAGGCGTTAATATGTTAACGTAACATATTAACAGTTATTCAGATAATTATAGTATAAACAAGATAACATAACATGTTTACGAAACGC